GCATTCACGTTTATTGATAATCATCAGTTGTTTTAATCTCAAAGCTATTGCAATGATCTATCGTGATCAAGCGATCATAATGAAGCTGTCATACTGTCAAATAGCTATCGTAAATTAGAACTTGGAGAATTTATACCGTCGATGATTACTTAAAAATTTCACACTTGAAAACTTTTTCAAATGTGAAAGGAAATAAATTATTTAAGAGATCCAATCAATTGATGTACATTGTTAGGATGAATAATTCGCTTACATAGGCAATATTTGAAGTAATGAGCGATTGAAATTCAGCACTAAATGATATATTTGGTGAGGACTTCGCGAATTTTTTGAGTGAGGATTATAACTCAATTGATGAGAGTCCTACTGACCTCAGTTATAACTCAATGAGCGTTCAGACGAGTACCCAATCGACTGCTTTGCCTATAATGGTCATTGGCGAGCTTGTTGAATTGTTAGTCTTGCCTTGCATTAATTCTTTCATTCATTTCGTTGGAATCAGATTTAATACTGAAATTCTGATGAATATTACTGCATCAAATCCGATTCGTTTCCGCGTGGAATACTTCTTTGATTACTATTTTATGAATTTACGATCAAATTTATACGAAACATGATGAATGATGCCTCAAATTGGTTGTTGATTAAATTATTCGTAATTACGACGAACAGTGAATAGTAATGGAATTAAAATTGAAGCAAGCCCAGAGACGTGCTAAGTGATATCTTATCAGGTGAATTTATGAGAAGAGAATTAAACTTAAAGTGTGACACAAGGGGAGGATGTTTATTCGATAAGTCTATGTGCTTTTATCGCAATTCACATCTTGCTAACCAAAATCATCAATTCAGCTTGATTTCTGGTTCGTTTTATTTATTTGCTGCTATCATTTTTGTTTGGTGATAACACTGGATTTCAATAGATAATTCAGTGCAAGCCAAATCATAGTTTGTCTCAGTCTCCGTAGCAACGTTAACACTGCTATATCAATTTGGATTCGAGCTAAGCTTACCCTCGTGAACGGGAATCGAACCTATCAGGTATCTCTTATCGGTCGAGTGCTTTACCTTTGAACACAACCATGTGGTGGAAGTTGAACGACTTCAGCAATATCTCAGAGGTACAGCACTAGACTGGAGATCGGTACGTCGCGAATCGAGATTTCGATTTGCTATCACAGGGAAAGCTTTGCTCGAATTCGAATGGTCAACAGGAGTCAATGATAGTAATAATGATAATGATAATAATGGTAACAATAACAGTAACAGTGAAATAATAATAATAACAATAATAATAGTAATAATAATAATAACTTTTACAATATTATAGTAAAGAACCAGCAATTCATTCAAGCCAATATCCCTCCGGGTGGAACGGCAATAATCGAGACGGATACTTATTTCGATGTGCCTCATCGAATTCTATTCGACTATTTGGAATTCAACGACGGTCAAACACTGTCGATTTGCTGTTTGAGGCCATTTTTCGAGCCGTACGGTTCGTTATCTTACTTCATCATTTGACCGTCAAGTCAGCCATCATGCACTCATTATCAAATATCCGTTCAATTCATTACTCTTTATCACTATATCACTGAACTCATCACCGTATTATACTAAATCCTCCCAAATATTTTTGCTCATCCAGCCCTGATCTGCATATGAAAAAGTTTATCTACATAGAATTATTAATGCTCAAAGCACTCTTCTCTTCTGCAACAATGAATATCTCATCGAGAATCAAAACATACTTAATAATTTATGTATTTTTCACCTCCGCATACTTAATAATTTATGTATTTTTGTCTGTTCCCTGTTTATTTTTTCAAACATTTTGCATTTTGCATTTGATTGCCTAGCGTTTTTCATTTCCTCCTCTCATATCAGTTTTGTGCATGGCAATGAGAATTAATTCAATGTCGCACTTGCGATGAATGACAACATTGCGATAGTGAATTCGCTTTATCATATTATCAATGATATTATGATAATAAGTTTAGTGATACTGATAAATATCACAAAAAATCAATCGCGTATTTAGATGTGATCATTTTGAATGTGATTTTTGGTTTGATTTGATTTTTTTTTCAGAACTGTTCTGTCCGTTTATAAGTGAATCACGATCGTCGCCAATTATGTGGCGTACACAACGAGTTACATGTCCCGTTGGCACTATTAAAGTTAGTTCATTTTCCATATTATTCAGTTTTTCAGTTTCAAAGACAAGCCTAGTGCATACCTCAAATCATTTTGATTCCAAATGCGTCAACTAAACAATCGAATAAACCCTTTATAATGAAGTTTATCAGAAATTCACATGAATCTGTTCTGTGTGCAATTGATCTATTTACATTTGCATTATTCATTTACGAGCGAAACTTGAGCTGTTTCCATGATCTGGTTTAGTGTTTTGATTGCAAAATTGTGGTTACAACGCAAAACGTTGACATTCAATTGAACTCGAAATGAATACCGAACAAACAACATTCAGATAATGTTTATATGCGAGAATTTCGGTCGTCAGGCAGGATCGTGCTCCATTGATAATGTGCGATTGCATAAGTCGAACGATATTCTCGATTTAGAACCGTGTCAGAAGGATCTGTTACGGTCGCTTTAATCCGATTATCTATTCATTCGTTCATTATCACTCTTTTGCCAGTCATTTGAATAAGACAATGTTTTAGGCAAACTGAAACAGCTGATCACATCATTGCTTGTCAATCCGTAATGAAACTGAGATTCAGTTACTGAATAGTGAGACTTTCTCTTGTTCTTACGATGATTATCAGTTCGCAATTAGACTACTGATAATCTTACTTGTAAATCATCAAATAACCATCCTTGTGGGTTAGCGTGATCAGACTGCGCCGAAAACATTGCACTGGCGAGCGGGTACATGAGAATTTCCTCAACTGGAAGGGCGTTGACAGCATAACGTGTTGACAATAATGAACTGTTGTTATACGTTAGCTAGAGCTGAAGCGCTGACAATTCAAGATGCTTGAACTGACCAAAAGGTAAGACGAGTCA